CTCCCTGAAACATTGTTGAGGTCCCAGACCTCCCTAAAACATTGTTGTGGTCCCAGACCTCCCTGAAACATTGTTGAGGTCCCAGACCTCCCTTAAACAGTGCTGAGGTCACAGACCTCCCTGAAACATTGTTGAGGTCACAGACCTCCCTAAAATAATAAAACAATCTTCTCACCCAGGAGTCGTGGCACTTCTCTGGTCGGACTTCCGTCACCTCCCTCGACTCACCAGCAGACCATGCCTCATTTAATTTGGCAATCCAGCCAGAGGACTTTCAGTTCAGGAGATTAATTCTCATCCGTGCACGGTTTCAGGTCCAAATCTGGCGTTCCGAGGTTAAATTTTGGGGCCAGCCTCGAAGGACCAAAATGTTAGAGAAAAATATTCTCTCTTTATTTTCTTAAATAAAAAGAATCACACTTGATGGCAGGAGAGGGTTTTTAACCGGTTTTTACTTCCAAGGTCAGATTTTCAGGACAGGTTACACAGATATACAGGAAGTACGCACATGAAGACCAGTCACAAGAATCTGTCACAAGTCGTGTGTGAAGCTTATTTTTATACTCTTATCAGTTCAGACGAGCTCACAGACTCGGAGGCATCCTTGGAGCAACAGCTGCATGCCTGCAGCCTCACTCAGCTCCTCAACCAGCTTTCTGCTAACCCAAACACATGGTTCATGGGCGGTTATCATTCTCAGTCATAGTGGTTAGAAACATCCATAAAGTTTGACCAAAATTCCCTAATATTTCCCCTCTGTTTATGGATGTTTATTACATTATCAGTATCAATCTTGCAAGCAGGGATGCTTTATGCATGAGATGGAACCTCCTTAGGGCAAAAACAGTTTAATCAAGTGGGAAACTTCACATCGCCTCAGTAGCTATGTTTATATGCGCAAAATTCTTTGACCGGATTGAAATGTTTTCAGATTGGATAATTCAAATGTATTGTTTACATGGGCACAATCTGTTCATGACGAGCGTTTACATGCAGCGGGCTTTGTTCTGAACAGAAGTAAAGACATGCACAGAGTGGTAAACTCTCCTTTAAAAAACCACAGAAGAAGAAGTTCTACTTCTGGTTTACTTCCGGGAGGAACGTAAACAAACCTGAGCACCCAAAATGGACCCGCGACAGGTTTTAATGACGTTGGAGATGTTACTGCACACCCTGACTGATCTACAGGTAATGCAGATCATTTTGAGCTCTTTCAAAGTTTCTAATAGAAATGTTGTGTCGCTCACCGACCAGTACTATTTCATATAGGCTTCGCCCTTTAAGGCTATCACTAGTGGGTTTATCGTTCGTTCGCCCGTCCCAGATGATTGTTTATCTGGAAGTGGAGTTAAACTCAACCACAATGAGAGCCCGTTTATCACAGCTGAGAGCCGAAGCTCTGTCAGCTCAGCTTCACTGTGTCAAACCCTGCAGCATAGTGACAGCTCCGCCTGTTATGCGACTCCTGGGACAATGTCAGCAGCCCACATCGTGGTTCCGCTGGGCTTGCTTTATATGAGACGCCTTCAGAGATGGTTCGCCCGCCTGCGCATAGATCCTGTGCGCCAGAAGAGGTGGATTATCTTTGCGCCCCCCTCCTTGAGAACTGATCTGAATCACTGGGGAAACCCTCTCATTCTGTCAGAGGGAGTTCCCATCAGCAGGCGTACGTTTCATGTCTCAGTTTTCAGACACGTTCCTGTCAAGCTGGGAGGAATGTGTCTGTCCCAAGCAGTGGGAGCACAGTGGCTGGACCACATGTCGCTTCACATAAATGTGCTAGAATTACTCAACATTTTGCCCCCTGCTGCGGGATCAGCATGTTCTGATCCACACAGACAACAAAGTGACGGCAGTTTACATAAACCATCAGGGAGGTGTGCGCTCAGCCCAACTGTTACGCATCGTGAAACAGCTGTTGTGTTGGGCACACACAAAAACCTGCTCTCCATCAGAGCAGTGTACATTCCCAGCATCCTGAACAGGGGAGCGTATATCATGTCGAGGGGCGGTCCCCACCACAAAGACTGGAGCCTCCATCCCGAACTGATCTCTCGGATTTGGAGCAGGTTCGGCTGAGCAGCAGTGGATCTGTCCGCCACACGGGAGAACGCCCAGTGTCAATTATGGTTCTCACTGAGCCCACAAGACGACCCACCATTAGGAGTGGACGCCTTCGCTCACAGCCTGTGGCCAAAAATGCTCCTTTATGCCCTTATATTTAAGTGGACAGCTTTTCAGCGCTGGTGCACGGAGAAAGGTGTAGAGGCCATCTCATGTCCACTAGGTGGCATGCTGTCCTTTCTGCAACAGCTGATGGACAGAAATCTAGCGTTCAGCACAATTAAGACTTATGCTGCAGCTATTTCTTCCTGTCACGAGGGCTTCGGTGACAGAACAGTTTTTAATCACCCGCTGATGAAACGTTTCCTGAAAGGTGTACGGAGACACAGACCGGTGTCATGCCCACTAGTTCCACATTGGGACCTAACGATAGTTCTGCGTTCTCTGATCAAAGCTCCTTTTGAGCCTTTAGGTCAGGTTTCACTTAAATTCCTGTCACTTTAAACAGCCCTGCTGTTGGCTTTGACATCAGCAAAGAGAGTGAGCGATTTATCTGCGCTCTCTGCTGCCCCGTCATGCCTCAGGATTCAAGCTGATGGCAGCTCAGCTGTGCTGAGACCTAATCCAGCTTTCATACCAAAAAACATCACAAGTTCATTTAAATTGAGAATGATAACCTTGGAGGGGTTTTATCCTCCTCCTCACCATTCAGAGGAGGAAGCATCATCTCACCTCTTCTGTCCCGTGCGCGCGCTTACATGTTATATAGCATGCACGGCCCCACTGCGTCGTCATCAGCGTCTGTTTGTGTATTACAGGGACACCTCTGCAGGTCACCCTTTATCCACTTAGCACCTCTCACACTGGTTGTGTGAGGCTATTTCTGATGCTTACAGAGCATCAGGACTTGATCCTCCAGAGAATATCAGAGTTCATTCCAGCAGAAGGATTGCATCCTCTACAGCTTTGCATGTAGGGATGACAGTGGAGGACATTTGTACGGCGGCCGCTTGGTCATCGCCTTGTTCATTTATTCGCTTCTATCTACGTGATGTCTCTGACTTCTCCATGACTCATTCTGTTCTCAACGTTCTAACAGAATAATTACTTGTTTCATGGAATTTTGTTTTAAGCTCACATCTGACTGCATGCAATTACAGTGTGAGACATTTATTATCAGTCACACGTTCATGACTGCTGTTTTTATTGTTACTAATCAGTTCATGACTGATGTTACCAATCAGTTCATTTGGTTACTAATCAGTTCATTTTGTTTTTAATCAGTTCATATTGAAGAGCTGTTGGCCTGCTCTGTTACATGGTTACAATTCGTAACCTCTGTTTTTTCCATTCTCAGCAGCAGGACTGCGTTTCAGCCGTCCCTTTTTCCCCATCGGAGATCTTTCCTCTCCGGGGCGCTCCTGTGCATTGAGCACGCAATTACGCAGCGTGTAATTACGCACACAGAAGGCTGAGTGATGAAATGTTTTTTGGTGCAAGCGGGCGCTTCATATTGTGTCTGAATGGACCCAGTGAGGCGTAGACTACATCCTGCTTCGCCTTTAACCCACTAGCGATGGCCTTAAAGGGCGAAGCCTATACAAAATAGAACGTTGGTTACGTACTGTAACCCCAGATTCTATGAGTATAGGCGCAGCCCTTTAAGCTCTGGGCCTCACTGGTTCCTAAATGGCTTAAGAAAAAAGCTATTTGGGAGCCGATTGCCCGGTCTTACCATAATTTATACGGATCGGGGGTGAGGCCCACACAGCAGGTGGGCGTGGACTAAAGTTTTCAGTGCTGCACGTGAAGGGATAAACCCACTAGTGATAGCCTTAAAGGGCTGCGCCTATACTCATAGAATCTGGGGTTACAGTACGTAACCAACGTTTTGCTTCCCCGACACGCTAATATTATTAGCATTAGTCAGGCGGAAATAACAAAGTCGCACATGCACAGTCAGGTCAGTTTTTCGTGTTCAGAAAAAAGTGAACTGATCAAGTGTTTACATGCACACCGTTTGGGTTATGAATCGGCATAAACCCCCCTTTTCATTCTGATCACAAAATATTTTGGATCACGCTGAATAAACAAAAAATAACCCTAACAGGGTGTTTACATGACGCGATTTTATTCCGAACGGCCGTTTGATCCGATTATTTATGTCCATGTAAACATAGCTGCTGCCTCTTTGACGACGACCGTATGGGGCATCTAAGCATCCCTCCAGGTTGGGGTTAATGGGGTTGTAAGGCTTGTGAAAATGTTGAAAATTGTGAAACACCTCTCAAAGCTTTCACATTTTAGGATAAAGAAGCTGGTTTGGATGTTAATATGTTTCAGTGAAAGGTCTAAAACTGATGTTTGTAATAGAAAACTGTTAGCACCACGCTTTAGAGCAGAGATTATCAACACTTTTCCAGGTCAAACTTGTATTTGAATCTTAGGGAGTTCAACATTTTTTCTTCCCTGGCTACAAGCAATAAGAAAAAAAATGTTAATTATATAACTTCTTTCAAATCATACGTATAAGGTGATTAACAACTCAAAAAACATGACACATTAACAGTAAAATAACCAAAGGCACAATAGTACAAAAGATTAAAAACCTTGTTGCAACCAAGACAGGAGTAATGTGTTCTCTTTTCCTGCATTTGGTAAGAAATCTGGTTGCTGCGTTTTGGACCAGTTGTAGTTAATGTTCACTGTTGACTCATACATTTATATAATGAGGTACAATAATCCAAGCGGGAATAAATTAAAGCATGAATGACAATCTCAAGATTGCCATTACTTGTTCTTCCTGTTTTCCACAAATGTTTTCCAACAATATCCAGACCTGATGTGTATTTAAAGCACAACTATCCTGCCAAACAGCAATGTGGTGTGCAACTCTGGAATTACAGATTGTCATTTCTCAATGATGTCAGTGTAGGGAGCAAGTGGAAGAGAGCCTGAAGAGGTGGAGGAACAATATAGCATGATATAAAACTAAACGTACTGGCCCTTGCAGAGTCTGCTAATATAAATTCTGCCCCCACCCCCTGGCATTTTGATGGCGAGCCCGGTTTTAGTGCCTCTGAGCTAACAGTTTCTTTATTCACTTTGCAGAACACGCCAGGCAGATCACCAAGTCCATGATGAGGCAGTCGACGATTGACAAACTAAGGTCTAACAGAGAAGCTGACATCCAAAACTTTGTCAGTTTTATCACTAAAGAGTCCATCCAGAAGTCGCTGCGTATGTACATGGAGATGCTCAAACAGAAAAAGGCCTGAAGTGGAGCACCAAACGTCCACACAGAGTATTAATTTAGGCCTGGCTTATAAAAAGGGTTTTCTCTGTTTGAAACAGTTTAGTTCAGTCCTCTACATGCAGATGAATAAATATTTTAAATGAGTGTGTGATGAACCAGCCTGTGAAGCTTCTCTTACCTAAAATTGTTCATTTTTGTCACAGTCAAGCCTTTGTCCTAAAGATGCCTGTTTTTACTGTATCTCTAAAATCTCTAAAATTTGTCTTTGCACACTTTTTCTGTCAGTTTAATAACATTACTTTTCTGAATAAAACGATGGCTTCATGGATTTTCTAAGTCAAAGTTTCTTTATTTGTCATTTGCACCACATGGAACAAAACTGTACACAGGGTCCCAGTTACATCCAACAAAAATATAAAATGTAAAGAAAAACAGTAATATGATCTAAGATATGAACTAAGAAATACGCTAAAGAATACGGTAAGCACTAGTAGTACAAAAACAATACGCTGAACTTTAAGGGCATAATTAATGAAGCTTTGATGCATTGCTGCTTTTCATTGATCAATTTTAGTCCACAACCATGATTCTCAAATGGAAAAAGGTGACATGCTCCCTCTGGCTCGTCTTCCCAGGAGTTTGGGTTTTGGGAGTTTGTTCACAAAGACCAGCAGGGTGAAGTACAAGATGGATTAGATTCTCGTGCAGTAATGAAGGCATGCTTCAGGTCGGTTATGGTAAAAAAAAAAAAACAACTGAGCCAAAAGATGAAGGTCTGGATTTACTGGTCCATAACTGAAAGGACGTCTCTTGGATACAAGCGCTTGATAGGAGCTTCTCTTGTAAACTGGTCAGGTTTAGCCTTAGAGATGAGGTGAGGAGCATTTTTATTCGTCTACTGCTCCTCTTCATTAAAAAATGTGGTTTATACGTCTGATCGGGATGTTTCCTGAGAGCCTCCCACAGGATTTTCTGAGTTTGTATCACTGAGAGAAGACCTTTGTCTCTTTAATGTATAGTTTATATATTCTGTCCTTGTGAGAGTCGCTGAGAAGAGATGTCTGGTTTTCCCTCCTGGACTTGTTGCCTCCAAGAAAGTTTTGGGTTTGTACCCACCATTGGTGGACTCTACAAATGTCCTTTTTGTATATAAAAACAAATTTACATGTTCATCAAGTGTTTCCAATTAAAATATAAAATTGCATCCAACCTAAACCAGCTCTTAAAAAAAAGTGCATGGGTTGGTGTGATCAGTAGGGATAACAATATAAAGCTAAAAGGATTATTATAAGGTTTACATTTATTGATATTCTTATATATTTAGACAAAAGTAAATACCATAGTTATTCAAAGAGTAAATAAAAATAATGTGAATTTTGATAGTAAAAACAAACTTTAGGCCTATGAGTCCTCTTGTTTGTGGAAAAATAAGAATTCTCACACTGAAAGCATAAGAAAAACAATATAAGATTTAGGCCAGTTTGTTGGATATTGTGATTTTAATGAAAAACAAATAATTTTACTTGGACAAATTGTTATTTTTCCTCTCATTTTTACTGTTATATTGATTCACCATATTTGTTCTGAGCAGCTTCTAAAGAAGATGGCACTGTAGATGTTGGATTAACAGATTAAATGTAACCAACATGTTTTGCCACTTAGGCTACTAGCATCATTCACATATCTATAAAAAATTGGCAAGGAAACTGCCAATGGTGATTTTAGACTTTTTGGGGGGGGTTCAAGCCCCCCTAAATTTTAACTCTGCACCCCTGAAAAATTAAGAACTCATCATTAGGATTTTGTAATGAAACACAGTTCTGAAACCTTAGATTCACCAAAACATTGAATACATATGGAATAAATGATGAATCTTAAACAGGCCAGTAAAATCTAAGATTTTTTATTTTTTGCACAGGTCAGATCCTCGATGCCACCTGTCAATCAGTCCAGCAGGCTCATCAGCAACTGACTAATTAGCGACCTCAATTTTTCCCAGAGTGAATGCCTCTTACCTGCAGGAGTAACACCCCTTTGTAAGGGTTTTGCATTTCAGACACTTTGTGGTCAGAGTGAGTTCATGAAAAATCAGCAGAAAAATAAACATCAGTGGAGAACACGTAATTCAGACACGCGTTACCCTGAGTGTTTAAAGAATGTAATATAGTTTATTACATTTCCAAAACCTAAACAGAGTCTGGAAAAATGTAAAAGATGAATAAAGCCCTGCGGCCGACCTCATGAGCAGCTGGATACAACAGTGATAAACAGGAAGTACCACATGTTCATCTGTATGAAGGTAACTGCAGGTAAATCCTCCATTTTTTGTCATGATTACATTGCAACTTAATAGTTAAATTAAAGGTTAACGCTTAAAGCTAGTTGTTCTTTGTTTTGTGTGTTTTATATGTATAGCTACATTTAACTTCTGGTTGCATAAGTTTAGTCTTTGTTTGCGATGATCAGTTAACAATAAACTGATTTTGTATAAAGCATTTATTAGGTTTTGTAATGTAAAGCGAAGCATTATGTCTGTAGCATCTTAGCTAGCGCAAGCTTAGCGCTACGTTAGTGCCGGTAGTTGTCGATCAGGACGGGGTGTTGGGCTGCATGAGAGAAGCGGACCGTGCTCTAGTCACACAAGGAGAGCTGTTGGTCAGGCTACTTCTTGTTGTTCTCTATAATAGTTACTGAATCAAGTGTTTAGGTAAACAGATGTTTAACAACCCATTAAAATACACTAGAATGCAGGAAATATCTTCTTTTGTTTTTCAAATTCCCCCAGTGTGTCCCCCACACATTACAAATGCTTCTGATTCCAATTGCCACTGTGTTGTTCAAGCCAAGAGCCAATATTGTCAGCACTGAGGGCTAAGGCACCACTCTAAAACTGCCACTGGAAACTGCAAAAAAATATATCCTCTTCTTTTGTGCCAACAAAGTCCATGCTCAATAATCCAGGTATACAATCCAACAATTTTCAGTCAGTCTTTTGTGGTTATAAAAACCAATAAAGTTAAATTTCATGTTTTGGTCAAGGCTTCAAAGTGCCACATGTGGCTCCAGAGCCACTATTGTAGACCTCTGGACTATATGATGCTTGCACCGGGATTATATCTTCAATTTGGAGTTTGCGTCACTAAGCGTTACGTTATACAGCACAAAAACCAAATATATCACATCATAAAGTACAAACATCTGTGATTTCAAATGGAATGTGTTTATTTTAGATTCATGATTGGTGAGAATCCTGTGTGTTATTTGAAGTCATGATTTAGGCAGCAGGAGCAGAACCCACCAGCTTCACCTCCACAGGGAAATGGTCACTAACAGCCAACGCCTGAGAGAGACACCAAAAACACGACGTCAGTTTTGATTAGCTCTTTCAGAGCTTTAGCTCCAATTCTGAGTGTGTTTAGAGGTTTTTTTTTAGGAATAAAGGAAACCAGTGTTGCACAAGCACGCAAAGAAATGTGCACAACTTTGGTATATTCCTGTTAGAGCACTCAAATGTAAACATTTTACCAAACTAAGGCTGAGGTTAAGGTCCGCCATGAAGTCATAAACTTCTGCGCTGCCTTGCACCACTCCTTTCATCATGTCAGTTGTGACGACGATCCTGCAGAAAACAGCAGGGTGAGAAGAACTGCGTGTCCATCAGTGTGTGTCTGTGTGTGTCTGTGTGCACCTGTCGTAGGGGCAGGAAGTGTGAGACACTGTGCTGTCAGCATCATCTGGGATCAGCCAGTGGAAGCTCTTGTCAGTGAAGAGTCGGATCTGTTCCCACTCCGAGCCCATCACATAGGTGCATCCTGCGTTGAAGTCTCCCAGCAGCACAACGTCCTGCACAGAACCACTGCTCAACCCGGTTTTTCCACACTTTTTGTGTTTTTTAAATGTGCTATCACTGAATGCTTATTTATTTATTTATTTATATTCACATTGGTGTTCCAGCGGTTACGAACATCAGCCACCACATCATGCAGAGCATCCATCTCCCACACAGCGTAGTCTGGAGAGGTGTGCTGAGGGATCAGGGTGAAGTTCCTCACAGCTGCAAAACAGAGTGTAGATGTTAATAAGATCACATAAATAAGACAGGGCCAGACCTTTTAAGATTTTAAAAACATCAATAAAATCTTAAAATCGGAGTGGACAGGAAGCCAGGGGGGAGAAGCCAGGACAGGGGTTACGTGTTTGTGTTTTTTAGTTGCTGTCAAAAGATGAGCTGCTGCGTTCTGGACAGATTGTAAGCGATGCAAAGATGATTTGTCTAAACCAGGGGTCTGCAACCTTTACAATGAAAAGAGCCATTTCTGCCCCTTTGTTCACTAAATTAAACGTGTCCAGAGCCACATTGATGATTGTCATTATCAACTGGTGGCCCATGGGCCACTTTAAGTTTGTTTAGAGGGGGGCTTTTCTTGTCTGTTCAGTAGGTGTGAAACTATAAAACTAAAAACATCCAATGATTGTTAACATTTATTTATATTTTTACATTATGAGACTAAAAAAGACTAGAATCCATCCATCAGTTATCTTTACTTGCTTCTTCCTTAGGCAGCACGGTGGCACAGTTGGTAGAGTTGCTGCCTCTCAGCGAGCAGGTCACCCTGGTTCAAATCCCAGTCTGGGGATCTTTCTGGGTGGAGTTTGCATGTTCTCTCCGTGCATGCGTGGGTTTTCTCCGGGTACTCCGGTTTCCTCCCACAGACCAAAAACATGTATGTTAGACTGACTGGTAACTCTAAATTGTCCCTGGGTGTGAGTGAGAGAGTGAATGGTTGTTTGTCTATGTGTCCCTGTGATGGACTGGAGACCTGTCCAGAGTGTCCCCCGCCTCTCGCACAGTGACTGCTGGACATGGGCACCAGTGACCCCTGTGACCCGAAAACGAAGAAGCGGGTAAAGATGGTGGATGGATGCTTCTTCCTTTTCAGGTTGCAGGGGGTCACTGGTATCTAATATGCAAGTTGCAAGTCGCAGAAAACTGGATTCTTGTAAAGAAAATAAAGAGCCAATTTTTTAAAACTATAACAATGAACTGTGCAGACATATATGATTTGTTTTGAGTATCCCACTTTGAAAAAATAAAGCACAAAGTTAGCGAGTATAATTTACTTTGTGCATTAATACTAGTATCCACATATTTGCAAAGGAAGTGACAGGAAAATTAAAACTAGTCGTTTTTTTATTGTGAGTATAGCATCCTATAAAATTCAGTTTTATATTACTTTTGGTCAAAGCTTGAACTAGCCACTGCGGAGGGACCAGATGTGGCTTGTACATGTGCATGTGGCTCCAGAGCCGTAGGTTGTAGACCTCTGGTTTATACCAACATACAATGAATTACAATAGTCCAAACAAGACGTAATAAAAGCGTGAATCATCTTTTCAGGGTCTCTGAAAGGGAGACAAGACTTCACCTTGGCAATGAGTCTTAGCTGGAAGAAACTGGATTTCACAACTGTATCTGTTTGTCAAATTTAAAAGCACTATGAAAAATAACTCCCAGATTCTTGACATTGGAGTAGCTGTATGAAGCCAAGGGGACAAGAGCATTAAGGGTATTACAATTACCAAAGCTGATGACTTCCATTTTATTTTCATTTAAATTCAGAAAATTTAGTTCTATGTCGTATAAGCTTCGCCCTTTAAGGCCTTCGCTTTAGTGGGTTTATCCCGTTATGCAGAGCATAAGCACTGAAAAAATTAGTCCACGCCCACCTGCTGTGTGGGCCCCACCCGGTCCGTATAAATTACGTTAAGAGCGGGAAATCGGCTCCCATTTTTTCTTCAGCGAGCTAATATAGCACTGTCAGAAGAACAAAGAAGATAAATTGTGTAAATGACCAACCTTTGTGAAGGATGCTTGGCCCGGCAGTCGACCTCCGGTCGTCCGGTGAGTTCTCCTCCCCGAGGAGAAGATGACAGCAGTCTTATTCCAAGGTAAGCGTCGAGGAACATTTCCCAGTGACAGGTCACTACACGCTGGACAACGCCATCTTGTGTTTTTCCCTCGCCGACCCTCGGGGCGAACCGGATGGTTCCTCCGGGGCAAGGCGTGCTCAGCTGCAGCCCCCGCTGCTCATTCCCTCCTGGGGAGCGTAGTGTAGGTGGAGGGGGGCTGAGTGAATGCTCACCCCATCCCACCTCGTTTCGCATCGGCGATCACACCGCTCCCGGCCGACAGCGCCCTCAGGGGTTGCCCGGCGGAACCCAGGAGGAGGCTGACATGAAGGGACCCCTTTTTTCTACGTCCCTCGCCTTTTCCCGCCAGTTCGGATGATCGGCGGAAAGGTTGTTTTTCACTGGGCTCCACTGTGGCTCACCGTCTTGATCCATACGGCCTCGCGTTCCAACAGGACGTTCCACGGGCGAGGCCGTAGACGGTTCTTTCCTGGTAGATTAGAGGAGTCGGTCCCCAGTCCGCTCCCATCACCAGAGTTGAGGGATTCACCGAGCGGGGCTATTCCTCGGTAACCCCCCCTGGAGCCAAGCCTCGCGGAAGCTTCCGGAGCGAAGCTGCCCAGGTCGGAGCAGCGTCCCGTCCCTCCAGAGGAACACGAACCAGACGGCGAACACGCTCTCAAATCGAGCCCACCAATGTGTTTTCAGGCAGCCGCAGTTAGCAACAACGTGCGTTGCTAGCATATAGCATGTCCAAGGGACTGAAGGCCGCAGACCTGCCTTGGAGACAAAGAACTCCCTCTGTAAGGCAGCTGACGCCAGCTCAACATGTGTGCCTCTCCCACGGTTTGCCTGTCGAGGACTGCAGCGCGGAGGACGATGATCCAACGACCCACCTGGCTTCGTTACTCCCCTCGCTGCCGGAGAATCTGCACAAGACCTGATGAAGCCCATCGCGGACGCGCTGTTCAGAGCAGCTTCAAACCATGCTGGCGAAGTGAAAGTCGGAGGAGGTGCCAGAAGCTGTGCGCCACCTCATCAAGCCGCGCGGCTCATCCCGACCCGCTGGAGGGACCGTCGCGAGCAAGCTTCGACTTTTCCACGGCCGCGGCTCTCGCTGAGTTCCACCACCAGCCCCGCCCGTCAGAATCCAGCCCTCTTCACTCCGGCAGCCTGCAGCTCAGCGTTTCCCCAGAGTTCGCCTGCAAGACAGCGCTCTGGGCAAACAATCGCAGAGCTCGTGAGAGAGAAGTTTCTCAAAATGACGGTCTCCGGAGGGTGTGTGTAAAAGTGACACGAAAAGTTGAAATAAATCATCATTAATGATCAAAGTGTCTGTTTTTTAGCCAGTCTGTAAGCCCGGATGAGCTCACAGCGGCCGCACACATAAGAGCCGGTGTCCTTAATAAGGGTTTTTAAACTCACCGCCGCTCCAAGTCATTACTAGTCGCTTACAGGGCACGATGGTAAGTTAAATAACTCGTTATAATCCCGAGCTGCACGATTTTCACTCAAGCGATGTCAACTAGCACTCGTGGGATGGAACAGCCTCCACATGAGCCGGTGTCCTTAAATAGGGTTTTAACTCACCGCCGCTCTTGACATGACGAGTCGATCACTAAGATGAACAGCCTCCATCCAACGGCGCTGCGTTGATGCTGGCGCACACACACAGCTGCCGGCGCTAACCAGCTCACATCGGTATAAATGTGGTCCGCAGGCTGGTTCGGGTGGGGGCCCTTCTCTCTCACAAGAAACGACACCCGTCTCGACGAATCAACGCGGGCAGCCGTCACCGCAGCTTAAACGTGAAGCAGCTGAAGAACCCGGTAATGAGTCCCGCCTCCCTCCAGCGCGCGCCCCTCCAGCGAGAGCGGCGCGCGTCCCTCCAGAGAACAACGTGTGCGCCCGCGGGGCTAGCAGCCTTCACTCCAACAGCACGGCGTAAATGAAGTCACGTCCTCCGCCTTTTCAACGTTCGCACAGCAACGTCAAACGCGCAGCCCCACCGCGTCATCAGCTGTCACACGCTTCGCCTTCAGCTCAAGCCTCGCCCGGGATCACACAGAAAACATTCCCGCGACGCATGACGGCGGTTGAGGGGCGGACTGCTGACAGCCGTACAAAACATGACACATCACTTAACGCACGTTCACCCTACGAACGTTACGTAGAGTGGCTAAAACATGCTCGCCGTTTTTCGGATGGGTGGACAAGGTTTTATGCAAATGGTACAAGTTACAGTTTGCAACCCGAACCCCTCCATTCAGAGGAGTTATAAAAACGGTCCTGTCATCATCAGACTAAATCTCATCCCTAAATGCAGAAATCCAAGTGTTTCTGATAAAAGTAATCTACAGAGTCCCCCAACGGAGAGAAAACACAAGGTTTTTACTCACGGATCGGAGGGGTGAGACCGTTTTTGGATCTGTTGTTAACATCCAGAGAACGCATACCGATCATCCTAACACAGAGACGAGAGTTTCTGTTTTACCTGGATGATCTGCTGCTCCTGTCACTCCAGACAGGAGGCGCTGATGCAGGATCAGGTGTTGACATCACACCTGTTAAATCTGGGCTTCGCCATAAATTGGAAGGAAGTTCGATTTTCCCGGCCCAGACATTTGTTTTCTGGGAGTGGAATTAAATTCAATCACCATGTGGATCCAGTTAAACAAAACGACGGATGATCATTGTCCCTTCCTCTGTGGAAGCAGACCTCCGACTCTGGGGAAACACCTTGTTTTTTCCGTCAGAGGGAGTTCCCCTCAGCAGACCCACGTCACGGGTCAGTCTTCACGGACACGTTGCTGTCAGGCTGGGGGGGGGGGGGACATGCGTATCTCAAGCAGTAGGGGCGCTGTGGCCCCACTACACATCAGCCCACATCAATGTTTTGGAGTGTCACACAGTACTGAATATGATTCAACACTTTGCTCCCGTGCTACAGAATCAACACGTGTTGATTCACACAGACAACATGATGATTGCTGCGTACATAACCATCAATGGTGTGCGTTCAGCCCAGATGTTACACTTTGCGCAAAAGCTACTGTGTTGGGCTCCTCAAAACCTGCTCTCTATTAGAGCGGTTTATATATCCGGTGTTCTGAACAGAGGGGCAGATGTGACGTCCAGGGGCGA